CAGCAAAGGCAGCAAATCTCAGAGCTGCCTGTGAGCTACCTGTCTGTGAGCAAACCATCTGCCTGATACAAGAAGGCCTGGAATAATATAATAGCTCAGCCTATGGTCCACAATTAATTTGGGGTAGAATAAAGGGGGCTTGCGAACACATGAGTAATAGTGGGGAAAGCCCATCATTAGTTTCAGTAACTACAAGTAAAATGAAGTATATCTCTCAATTTTTTTCTTTTGTTTTTGAGACAGGGTTTCTCTGTGTATCTCTGGCTGTCTTGGAATTTGCTTTGTAGACCAGTCTGACTTGAACTAACAGAGAACCACCTGCCTCTGCCTTCCCAGTGCTGGGATTAAAGGTGTGCACCACCATGCCTAGAGGACAGGCATACAATAGAACTTTTATATGTCTCCTAGTCACTAAAGAGATGCCCTCTACCTTAAAATTACTACATTAAAGCATGGCCTGAGCTGTCGAGACGTTCAACCAGTCAAGGTGTTTGCTATATAAGCCCAATGGCCAGAACCAGAGCAGGAGAGCTATTCCTAAAAGTTGTTCTCCAATTTCCCATGTGTATCACGGGATAGGAATGCTGCCTAAACAAGCACATAGGCAAACACAAATTTTCTTATTCAAATACAAAGATCTTATTTAACCTGTTAATAAATTTACATTTGCTATTCTAAAAGATTTATTTTTAATTTTTGTGTTTTCCCACATGCATGCCTTATAGATGTTGATTTTTTTCTTTCTACCATGTGGGTTCTGGGAATCAAACCCAAGTCATCAGCCTTGGTGGCAAGTGCCTTACCCATTAAGCCATCTTGACAGTCCTAATCTATAATTCTTAAACTGTTTTGAAACACTTTAAATGCAATAGAATGCTTTTAATTCCATACATTTTTGTTTCATGAAACTAAACTATAACTCTGAAGAGGCTGAGGATGTAACTCAGTGGTTGGATTGAGTTCATGCCACAGCAGAAAAAAAAAAAATCCTGTCCTGATCACGTATAACTTCTATTAGTTGTGATTCAGAGCATCCATACAAAAATGAACAATCAGTACAAATATGTTCACTGAGAAATATCTGCCTTGAGACTTCACATACTGCAGGTAACAACTAGTTACTGACACACATCCCCTTACCCACAAAGAATATGTATCAACACCTACAGTAGGTGGTTGAAACCATAAAGAGGTTATATGTTTTATATATTACATACACACATGCATACTACACAGTAGGTTTTAAATAATTCCAAATCTTATGTACGGTAGATTTTGCATTTATTTTGTTTTGGATTTTTTTTTAAGTCTCACTAAACAGCTTAGACTAACTCCAAACTCACGATCCTCTTGCCTCAACCACCTCAGGGCACTACCACTGCAGCCTATGTTTTTCCTATACGCAGTGACCTATCATAAAGTTTAAGTCACAAACAGGGTACAATAAGAGCTTAACAACTCCTAATAATAAACCAGAATGATTATAACAATAGATTGCTCCAATTGTACACAATTTCATTCTTTTACTCAGCATCTTATCTGCTCTCTAGATTGTCAGACAACTACAGTACCACAAGTTCAAACAACCCTTATTTTACTTAATGATGACTTCAAATGCTGTCAATTCAGGCAGGCCAAAGAGAAGCTGTTAAGTACTTCCTTTAAGTGAAAAAGGCTGAAAGTTCTTGACTTAATGGGAAAAAAAAAATGCTGACATGCTAGGATCAACTTCAAGTCTTCTTTGAAGTGAAACTGGCGAGGAAAGACATCAATATCAGGCTTGGTGGCAAGCACTTTATCCATGACAAATCCATACTACTATTTCTGCCTGAACAAGGGTAGCTGAAGCCAGGAAAAACAAAACCAGAAATAAAGTGTAATGCTGATAACGTCTCTGTAGCACCATTCTTCCTGAAGGGAACTTAGTATTCCAGGGCATTCTAGAGATCAATAGGCAGAACAGAAAGAGAAAGGGGTCAAGGGGGTGGGACTTGAAGTGTAGTTCAGTGGTAGGGTAGTCATTAAAAAGAGGGGGTGGAGGTGGTAGGGGCTAAATGGTGGTTCAGCTGTTAAGCACACTGGCTGCTTTTGCAGAGGACTCAGGTTTGGTTCCCAGCTCAACTACCTGTTAACTCCAGTTCCAGGAGAGCCAACATCTTCTGGCCTCCACAGGCACCAGACACATGGCTCATAGAGAAACAAGCACACAGGCAAAACACTCAGACACATACAATTTTTTAAATTTAAAAATTAATAAAAGAGGGTGGGCGGGAGAAGAGGAAAGGAGTTTATGGGTTAGAGAATGGGTCCTAACATCAGACAGACACAAGCTCCAAACCCTACTCATCTCACTCTTCCCCCTCCCCCGCCTTGGTTTTTCGAGACAGGGTTTCTCTGTGGATTTGGAGGCTGTCCTGGAACTAGCTCTTGTAGACCAGGCTGGTCTCGAACTCACAGAACCCTATTCACCTTAGGCAGGTAATTTACAACAATGTCTTCACTGTAAGGACTAAATAAGTACTCCAAGGTAGCATCATTATACATTAAGAGCTTAGAAACAGCAGGGGCAGAATCTAAGGTGACAACTATCACAGTTTCATTAGTACTTACTTTTAGAGAGCCACAAGCCCGAGGAAAATAGGTCACACATGCCTTCATTCCCTCCAAAGCTGATTGTTCACACTGTGGGAAAAGCAGAAATCAGAAGGAAGAGGCCAAGCACCAAGGGCCCATACCCTTCCATCTCATCCCTGGCCCATAAGGTCCCTTTCTCAAGTCTGTCATTATTTTCTTACCCCCACACTTCCTAAGTCCTACTCCCTAAGCAGTTCCCATAACATTTTTTAATCCAAACAATATGAGAACCAGAACTGCAGTCTCACCTCTGGTCTGAGACCCAGCAAGGAAGTAAGAAGCCCGGGCAGGTGGTTGGTAGATATGTCCCGGAACAGCGTAGGAAGCTGGGATGCATATCGGAGCAGATCCCTCAGGATAGCCACAGCCAGCTCCATTGTGGATGGTGAGTCCTGGGACTAAAAGCAAAGGCACCCATGCTGCAAACCTCACCTTCACTGTCACCAGAAGAGGGACAGGAGGTGTAACAACACAGGGCTTTTAAAACACCACAGCTAACATCCACATTACCATCACATTTAGCATCACCAAGAAAGAGAATAGATGACAAGAGGAACGGATGTGTTTGTAGAAAGGACGTGTTCACATTTTAGTGTCTAGCGTCTGGAAAACTGGAGACATCCACTTGCCTAGCACACAAAAAGCACTGGGCTCCATTCCCAGAATCTCAAAAGTAATAAATTATAATAATATATCTGGGTCCTAGGAAATTTGTTTGAAAAAGTGGCAAAGCCACACCTTAAAAGATTTGAATGTTTAGATCTCAAAGTCTTTATTACCCATACTGCATTTCTCTGCCCCATTTCTCCAAGTTAGAGTCACACCCACCCTGGAATTCATGAGGAAAAGCTATTTGGTTTCAGACTTTTCTGGAAAATTAACAGGAACCTACATGGGGAAAAAAAAAAAAAATCACTTGGCATATACCTTCTTCTAAACTAGAAGAGGCCATATGCCAACAACACATACAAGAATATTAACTAAGAAAATATGAAAAGCAGGGCAACTGTTGTGCCTGTAGTCCTAGTTATCAAAGCAGCTAAGGCAGGAGCATGGCCAGAGACCAGGACTTGGGAAGACAACCTGGCTCAGAAATAATTCATCTGGTTTTCTTCTTCTCTCTCTTTTTAATGTGTGTGTTTATTTGTGAAGGCAGGAGCATGGAAGTCAAAGGACAACTTTCTGGAGTCAGTTTCCCCTTCCATCACATCCAGGACTGAACTAAGGTTATCAGGCTCGGCAGCAAGTGGTTTTACCCACTAAGCCTTCTCGTCAAATCCCTTAATTTTAAAAAGAAAGAATAGTCAGGCCCATGAACTACAAACAGACCTTCAACACTATCCAGAAGTTCTACTATAATTCTCTTCAGAAGCTTTCTCCATTGAACTTGCAAATCCCAATTTCCCCCATCACTGTCATCCTGCATGGTCTTACCTTCAATTTGGCAGAAAAAACTGAATCCAAAGGCTGGGGCTACCTTACCTCCAACCTCCAAACCTGAATGAAGTCTTAGGCATGCTCACCCATCCTGACTCGGCTCCCTTCCAGACCCCTGCTCCTGTCCATACGCTTTACTGGGCTTGATACTAACCTCTCTTCTCTCCCACTGACATGCCCACAGGCTCAAGCTGCGCCCATCTTAGAAATCCTTTGAGCAAATACAAATCCCAAGCTTCCTTGACAATCAGGATCTTCAAAGGATCTTGTATCTCCCTCATTTCTCCCTCTTCTCACAGTTGCTTCTCATCCCAATCCAGTCCAGCTTGTGTCCACAGCTCTGCAAATACCACTTCCACTAGTCTTATCAACTAATATTGTAAATGACTCTGGGTCAGTTTTGTTCCACCTCAAGAGTATAAACAGAGGTCACTCCCAGGAAGATAAACAGAAGCAACTGCTCCCTCTTTCCTCATGTATCCTCCCCCCCTCTCCCCGCCATCCATCCAACACACAATCTTACTGACTCCTCCCTCTTCCACTGGGTTCCATCCAACCCACAATCCTGGTTATCTCTTTGGCTTGCTCTGTCAGTCTCAGTCTCTTCAGTAAACTCCTTCTCCTCCACTGACCACTCAGAATGGTATACACTTATAGCTGGCAAGGACACATACCAAAACCCACCCTCATCTTCACTACTGACTAAATGCTGATAACTCCATGGTAAAACATACCAACAGAGGCCCTCTTCCAGGTCATAGGTCATATCAAGAGTATGTCTACTGAAAGGGCTGGTACTCAACAGTCCAGGTCACACTCAGTGTTTTCTTTTATTCCTTCTGAGCCTTGACTGCCTTCCAACGCTTCTGAAGACCACAAATGTTGGTCATATCTTCTCCCTAAAGCCCATCATTCATGAGACTGCTCACTTGGCTCTCTGCCAAACCCACCTACCTCTATCAGCTCTACTGCACCACCCTCCTCCAGGCTACTGCAAATGCTCTCCTCTACTCCTGCAAAGCCTCTACCTTCTCCATCTGCTTCCACTCCTCTCCTTACTTGTTCTTTCTTTACCCAGCACCCAGAGTGAAGTTTTCAAATGTGAAGATGTCATCACCACCACTTCACTGTCACCACTATGTTTTTCATAGCCTCCAAATCACATCTACTGAATTCTTAATCCCCAACACAATAGTGCTGAGGCAGCATAGTTCAGTGAGTCAGAAAGAGGCAAGTTACTGCATAAGTAGACGTGTTACAGAGGGAAGCTTCTCTTTCCCTCCCTCTTCTCTCCCTCCCTCCCGTCTCCCCACCCCCCCCACACACACACTCTCACTCACATGCTCACTTTCATTCCCACCCCCAGACCCCACTGATGCCATCTTCCATGTTATAATGTGGCAAGCAGGTCTTCAAAAGATAATTCCCCCTCAACTTGCACGTTCCAGCTTCTAGAACCTTCATTCAGACAAAAATTATACATAACATAACATACATACATACATACATACACACACACACAATCTGTGGCATTTTGTTATAGCAGCAAGAAATCTACTTAGAACTTCTCATGAATTCCACTACTCAGAGAATAAAAACCAATTCCTTATAAAATAAAAGCCTATGGCTTGGTTCTCTTACACCTACCTCCTCAACTGCATTTCAACCCCACCAAACTGCCATGTTTACAATTCTTCAAATGACCAACTTCCTCTTCTATGTAGCTTTTACACTCTTAGAATACTGGGTAGCCCAATTAACTACTGATCAGAACAGAAACGTATCTTGTAAACTTCTGGCCCTAACCCCTAAACCCACACCAGCCTAGATGGGGGTCAGATTCCCAATCTCTATTCACAGAGAACTAGTCTTTACTACAATAGGTGTCACGTTGCAGTCAGTTCAAGTGACTTCCGTTACAACTGTGGCAAGTAAGTATATGGTTTTCCATGGCCCATAAGCTAAGAATTTTTTTCCCCATTTTTATAGGAATGAAGCACAGTATTTAACAGAAACCACATGGCTAAATGGCTATCTGCAAATTGCTGGATCATAAGAACATATCCCAGTCTCTATATAGACTTAAGAGTCATCCAAGCAGAGTCCATGCACCTCTTACCCTAAGCTTTGCACATGGCTTGCTTATGAAGTAACTAAGGGCGGAAGGCACTGAGGGTGTTAGGGAGAAAGGTGATAATGTCAGAAGGGTTAGAGGCAATAGGCGGGAACACACAGACAGACAGACAGACAGACAGACAGACAGACAGACAGACAGACAGACACACACACACACACACACTCACAAGAGAGAGAGAGAGAGAACTTCAGAGACACAAAGTGAAGCTAGAGTTAGTGTGAAAGGGCAAATGAAGTAAGCTAACAAAACTATTGGGAAGTTTAGAAAGATTTCTATTGGAAGTTTAACCTCTGTCGACAAAGCAGAAAATTGTTTTCACTCATTCTGTCCCCAGAGCTAATGTCCAAACACATCTGACCCATACTGGGGGAAGGATGGAGGGGAGCAGATCCTTACCTGCAACACCTGCTGAATGCTCCGAAGCCAAGACACACAGTGCTGCTGGAACAGCTCTGTGGGGCTCTCCCCTACCAACAAGGACAGCAGACACAAGCCTTCAAACCTGACAAACAAGAGGGTGATAAGGAGGTGGAGGCTAGACTTCAGAGAAGCCTGACTGCTCTTTTATTTTTGTTGGGCTGTAATAAGACTCCATTCCCAGATTTACTGTGGCTTCTCTCTCCTGAGACTTAGGGAGGACTCAGTGTGGAGGAGTATCAAGCAAAGAAGGAAGAAGAGCTAACTCATGGGGAACGGGAGATGGAAATGATGAGTTTAATTCAAGTGAGCTCACAGAAGGAAAACTCTCCCCAGCTCCTGGAATAGGAAAAACCTCTTGATCCATGGGGTGGGGACAAAGGATAGGCAAATCCGCACTCAACCCACTTCCTAAAGGCACATAGCTAAAGGCTTACCGGGTTTTGATGGAACCAAGATGTGCATTACTGATATTCACCAAAGCCCCTAGAGCCGAAAGATTCTAGAAGTGGAGGAAAAAAACAGAAGGGAATCAGGCAAAGGTCATTAAAGATGCCGAAGAAATTCTCCAAGCCCTTCATTGTCCCTGCACCTAAGAAAGCTTTCTGAATGTGCACTTTCTGAGTCCAAAAAGGCCATCACAGCTGTCTGTCCCTCAGTCTATTTCCTCAAATTCTATCCTGTCTGATCTCTGCCCTCATTTCCCACATCAAAAAAGAAAATAAATAAATAAATAAATAAATCAGAGCTGAGAGAGAACAGCCCAACTCATCTACTTGATTTCAATAAGGCTTGCTTTATCTCAGAAGACAGTCCGTATCCCTGTAAAGCACCTACCCTAGCATAAAGACTTCCAGAAATGCTAGCTGAATGCTTCTTCTGTCACTCAGAGAAACAACTCTCTTCGTCCTGTTCCAGGCTTAACACCAACACAGATTCAACCAGTCCTCCTCCTAACCCTTTCCTCTCACACAGAAAGAGGTATCATCAGCCCTTTTACAAGCAGCCTCTCACCACACCGCCCAAAGTACCAGACTCCTCTCAGGGACCCAATCTCCTGAAGGTTGGAAATCAGTCGTTCTACTACCACATGGTACAGCTGAAATCATTCATTCATTTTTATTTATTTGTTTATCTCAGGGTGAGGGGTTTCCAGACCCGTTTGTGTAGCCCTGACTGTCCTGAATCTAGCTTTGTAGACCAGGCCGGCCTCAAACTCACAGAGATCCTCCTGCCTCTGCCTCCCAAGTGTTTGGAATTAACTCGGCGCCACCACTGCCCGCCTCATTTTTTCTAATTCCACATTGCACTGGTCAAATGAAGAAAGAAGGCAGTTTTATATAATAAGATCCCAAGACCATCTACATGGCTCAACAAGCCTGACAACCTGCATTTGACTCCCAGAGCCTACATTTAGGAGAACCAACTCCCAAAGTTGTCCTCTGACCTCCACATGTGCACCGTGGCACATCAGTACACACACAAAATAAATGAGTGTTAACTTTTATATTTAAAATAAAAAAGGTCCCTAATCAGGTGGGAGAACTTGTTCATTTATTCAGTACATGTTTAATAGTGTAGTTAACGTTTACTTTAGGACAAACATTGTATTAGGTGCTGGGCAGCTTATTTCCCAGGTGGAGGAAAGTGTAAAGAAATCCAAAAGGCAAACACGGCTGAGCATCCACAATTAGAAGATCCAAAATGTTCCAAATCCAAAACATTTGAGCTCTGAGGACCTGACACAAGTGGAAACTCCACACCTGACTTTACCTCAAAATACAAGTGTAGCCGGGGGTGGTAACAAACACCTTTAATCCCAGCACACAGGAAGCATAGGCAGGTGGATCTCTGAGTTTGAGGTCAGCCTGATCTACAGAGTGAGTTCCAGGACATCCAGGGCCACACAGAAACCTCGTCTCAAAAACAAACAAAACAAAACCCACAGGTGAAGTCTATGGCACACACATTTAATCCCAGCACTAGGGAGGGAAAAAGGCAGGTGGATCTCTGAGTTTAAGGCCAGCATGGTCTACAGAGCAAGATGTAAGCAACCCAGAAATACATAAACAAAGCCTAGAGAGACAGCTCAGTGGTTAACTGTACTTGCTGCTCTTCTAAAGGACACAGGTTCAAATGCCAGTACCCCAGTGGTTCACAACCATCTGCAACTCCAGTTCCAGCGATCCAATGCCCTTCTGACCTCCATGGGCACCAAGTACACAAGTGGTGAACATACAAACATGCAGGCAAACACACACACCTATGCAAAAGCCAGTCATAACAGCAGTATAAAATCTGTGACCCCAGTGTCCCCTATGGAGACATAGGCGAGAGCATCAACAGAAGCTCTTGGGGCTAGCTAGCCTGGCTCCCACCACTGCCAAGAGACCTTGTCTAGAGACAGGAACTTGACCTGATGGTTGTCCTATGACTTTCATTTGTGCACCGTGCTACCCTTGTCCATACCCATCAACGTGAACAACCACACACAGCTCAGCAAGATAACGCACACCTTTTTTTTAATCCCAGCAATCCCAGGCCCAGGGAAGTTAGAGCTCAATGAATTCCAGACCAGTCAGGACCACAGAGTGAGATATTGTCTCCAAAAGCAAATAAAAAAAAAAACGCAGAACTTCACAGACTGACTGCTTATGGAAGTGTGTAAAAGCCATGCACTGAGGATGGCACTGGGGTTTCTAGCTTGCAGGACTGAATAGAATGCACCTGAATTTTTGTGCACAGGATCCTAACAGGGCCTACAATGTTGTCCATCTCCTGCCTCACCAGCCTCGACTCTACCCATTCTTTCTCTTTCAGCATCTAAACCCCTAAACAATGCCCTTATTTTCCCTTGCTTCCCACGTTAAGTGCCCTCTAACATTATAACCACCCCCGTTTTCTTTCACTCTCCAACCTCTGCTCATCTTGAACTCCAGGTCCTTTGGGTGAAATCTCAATACTTTATACCGAGTTAGGGGCTTCATACCAGAATCAATTTTGTGTTACAACATTTTGCTCATCGTCATCATGGCTGCAATTGAAGCGCCTAATAGGGGATTAATTAGGTCCTAGACTAAGAGCTAGTAAATATTTGTGTTCAATTACTCCAGGACAACCTCCCCCGCCCCCGCAAAAAAAAAAAAAAGTTTCGCCAAAAGAAAAATGCTGAAAAACATTCAACTAGTTATGTGACCTGGCATAGAACTGAGTCCTTTCATTCCTTTGTGCCTATCAATGACCAAACAGAAACAGGGCCTAATTTTTACCTGGAGAAACGGCAAATAATGAAACAAGTGAATCTCATCCCGAATGTTAAGTGAGGACCACTCTCTACCCTCGGCTCTCCTCTCCTCCAGCTCACGGCTGCAGCTTCAGGAAGGCGTGATCACAGTCCTAGCTGCCTCGCCAGCCTTCCCACGGTGACCACGCGAGCCACGGACTTACCTGAGCCCCACCCACTGTCCCATGCAGCCGCAATAAGCACATGAGCCCAGGCAAATGCGGGGCCCAGTGGATTGGGGGATGCACAGGGGCAACGGGGGACCCCGTTCGCGGCTGTAACAACCCAGAAACGCTCTCCAACAGCAGCAGACGCAGTCGCGGGCCCGACCCCACAGTAGAGAGACCCCCAGTCCCGCCAGGAGCCCCAGCCGGGGAGCCCGCGGAGGGCCCACTGAGAGCGGCTGCCGCCATCTTCCCAGGCTCGAGCAATGGCGTAGCGTGATGACGCAAACATAGGCGCGACGCACACCGCTCGGGGAGGGTCTTGAGGAGGGGGCTGCGACCGCACGCACTGGATGAATGGGGGCTGACGCCCTTGCTGCAGGAGGGAGCATGCGCAATGTGGGCGGCGCTGCTGCCAAGGCAGCCAGGGAGCTGTTTGCCCGGGGCCAGGAGCCGCCGGGCGGGGCGGGGCGGAGGCGGAGCGCCGCTGGCCAGACACGTGGTCACCGGGAAAGGCGCGGAGTCTGAAAGATTTCAGTCCAGTCCAGTTTCTGATCACCTTGGCCCGGGGCTCAGTAATCCTATCTGAAGAGTCAGCCCCCAAGTCTGAAATCAGGAACATTCTAAACTGCATTTCCAACAACGGAAAAGCAAGTTCAAACAGTGCATATGCCATGAAGTAAAAAGAGAAGTGCCCTTCTGTCCCCCAGGCACTCCCATAGTAATTTGTGTACTTATATTAGTCTATACACAAACATAATTTGTTTCTGCAAGAGTAGAGTTTTCCCTTGGCTTTGTTCACTCACATGGTGTGGGTCTCTATGTGGTGGGACTGTTAATTTCATTAGCTGTGCCATGATTTAATCGTTGCATTCTTGAATACTTAGCTGCTGCCCCACGTTTCTCTAATACCCCAGCCGACATCCTAATAACCGTGCACTTAATAATTGTTAGATTCAGATTCAATAGCAATGTATGTTCTTGGTTTCCTATCCAGTTCTCAAGTCCTGAGAGTCTGCTTTCAAAATACATTAACTTGGGTTAAGGGTATAACTCAGTGGTAGAGTGTTTACTTAACATGAGGAATCCTGTTCAATCCTGAGCACCAGTTAAAACAACAAAAAGCATAAATGTACACACACACACATACACACCAAATAGGGTTAATTTCTCCACTTCCAATTTCTAACACCACCCTTGTCTGTATCATCATCCGCTCTTCTGACCTCTTAGAACCCCTTCCTTGCCTGCCTCCTTATCATCTCCCTCAGTAATGGGCACACCACACAGCAAACAAATTAGGCTTTTCTAATATAAATCAGTAATTTGTTTTGTTGTTATTGTTGTTGTTTTTGACAGGCTGGTATCAGGATTGTGGCAGTTTAAGTGCTGGCATTATAGGTGTGAGCCATCACAGCTTACTATAAATCAGTTCTTGTCATTCCCAGCTTAGAGCCCTCCAGTGGCTTCTAAATGTCAGAAGAAAATTCTTTTTTCTTACACATACTAGAATCTATATGGTCTGACGTCAACATATACAAGTATCATTTTTCCTTTCTGGTTTCTGGTAGGGAGATGCTTGTTTTTTGTTTTCTTTGCCTAGTCTTGAGCTAACTTAGCCTTTTTTCCATCCTCCAGCAATGTCTATTCCCAATTCAGGGCCTCTGCACAGACTTCCAATTCTTCTGAACAGGCTACCTCTGATCCCCTTATTGCCACACTCAGAAAGCCTCAAACCAATCCAAAGCTACAGAGAAACCCTGTCCCGAAAAACAAAAACAAAACAAGCAAACAAAGAACATGTGACCCTTATGTTCTGAGTCTGGCTTATTTGACTTAACATGAATGATCTCCAGTTACATTCAGATTTCTGCATGAGACAAGATTTTGTTCTTTATCGTGGCTGAATATACTTCATTCTGAATATATGCTTAATTTTATTCATTCTTGATGAGCACCTAGGCGCCATGGCTAGCTAGTATGAACAGTGCTGTGGTTCCAGGAGCCCCTTCAAGTCTGCTTTCATCAGGGTGTGCTCAGGAGTGGCATAGCTAAACCACTTAATAGTTCTGCTGTTACTCTCTGGAAAATGTTTGTATGGGTTTCAATAATGGCTGGACTGATTTAAAGTCCTTACCAGCAGTGTACCACAGTACATTTATACCCTTCATCCCCCCTCTTCCTCACCAGCATGTGTTGTTTTCTTGATAATAACTATTTTGACTTGGATGAAATAAATGTTCGCTATAGTAGGGTTTATTGTGTGTGGAAAGATTATTGAGGGAAGGTAAGCGAGGAAGGGAAGGGAGGAGAAGAGAGAGAGAGAGAGAGAGAGAGAGAGAGAGAGAGAGAAAGGGCTGTATCCTCAGAAATGGCAGAGAGAGTGTAATAGAGTTTTGATATTTTGGTTTTGGTAGTGGTGGTAGTGGTGAGATGAGATGTGTGTGTGTGTGTGTGTGTGTGTGTGTGTGTGTGTGTGTGTGTGTGTGTGTTGACTCTGTGTATGCCATAGCTCAAACTAACCTTGAACTTCCTATAGCGGAGGATGACCTTGGTCCTTCTGTCTCTACTGTCTCACTGATGAAATTACAGGCACTCAGGACACCACTTCTGACTTTCAATCTGTGTTACCCTAGTGGCTGAAAGAGGTTGAGCATTTGTGTATTTTTCTGCCATTGAGAACTGTCTGTTCAGCTTTGTCTCCCTCTCCCTGTCCCTCTCCTTCTTCTTCACTCCTCTCATACTATACATCCTGATCAGAGCCTCCCCTCCCTCCATACCTCCCTACTCCCTCAGATCCACTCCTCCTCCCAGGGATATCTTCCTAAGACAGCATCACAAGATACAATAAGACCAGGCACAAGCCCTCATGTCAAGGCTGGGCAAGGCAACCCAGTAGCAGGAAAAGGGTCCCAAGAGCAGGCAAGAGTCAGAGACACCCCTACTCCTGCTGTTAGGAGTTCCACAAAAACACTAAGCTAACAACTATAACATATATGCAGAGGACCTATTGTAGACCCACGCAGACTCAGTGTATGCCGTTTCTGTCTCTGTGAGACCCTATGAGCCCTGCTTTGTTGATTCTGTGGGAATCAAGTGGTTTTGTTCTGCTGTGCCCTCAACCTTCTGGCTCCTACAGTTATTCCTCCCTGTCTTCCATGGGCTCCCCTGTCCAAGCTCTAAGGGGAGGGATCTGATAGAGATCTCCAGTTTGGACTTGCTCTCCACCTAATGTTTGGCTGTGAAAATATTTATGTTTTGATGCATCTATGTCTGTGCACCACATGCATGTAATGCCCACAAACCAGAAGAGGGAGTTAGATCCCTTGGAACTGGAGTTACAGATGTTTGTGACTCATGTATGTGATGGGAATCAAACCTGGGACCTCTGGAATCAAACCTGGGACCTCTAGAAGATCAGTCAGTGCTCTTAACCACTGAGCCATCTCCCCAGCCCTCAGCTTGGGGTTCTTTATGTGAATATTTCTTCTATTAAATGAGTATCTAGCAAATATTTATATTCTGTTGTTTTCTGTGTAGAAGCTTTGCTTGCTTGCTTGCTTGCTTGCTTGCTTGCTTGCTTGCTTGCTTGCCTGTGTTTGAGCCCCAGCCCTGTGCATCCCTGACTGTCGTGGAACTCACTAGCTCTGTAGACCAGACTGGTCTCTAACTCAAAGAGCTCCACCTGCCTCTGCCTCTCAACTGCTGGATTAAAGGTGTTTATCACCATACCTGGCTGTGCAGAAGTATTGTAACTTGATAAAATCACTTTGCCACTTACTTTTGTTTTGTTGTTATGTGTGATGCATGTATACATGTGTTCAGGTATATGTATCTACAAGGCTTTGGTCCTATCACTTGGGAGGCAGATCTCTGAGTTCAAGGTCAGCCTGGTCTACAAAGTGAGTTCCAAGACAGTCAAAGCTATTACACAGAGACTCCCTGTTTCGAAAAAACAAAACAAAACAAACAAAAAAGATTATCACTGAATGATGACAATGATCATCTTTCAACTTTCCCATTGTAATTGTTGAAATGAAGTAAGTTCTCATGTGTTTATTTGACATCATTTATATTTCCTTCTTTTCAGGACAGGTTTCACCATTAGGTAACCCACTGTATTAGTTACTTTTCTATTGCTGTGATAAAAACAAATCAAAACAAAACAAAAAACCACCAAGACCAAGCCAACTCATAAGAGGAAGCATCTAACTGGGCTTCTGGTTCCAGAGAGCTAGGGCCCATTATGGTGGAGAGAAGACATGACAGCAAGAGCAGCTGAGAGCTCACATGTATGAGCCACATTCAGGAACTAGAGAACACAACTGTCTTAAAAACCTTGACTTCCACCTCTTTAACACACTTCCTCCAAATAGGCCCCCACCTCCTAATCCTTCCCAAACAGTTCTGACTGTTGGAGACAAATTATTCAAACATATGAGTCTATGGGGGCCATTTTCATTCAAACCACCACACTAGCCTAGGCTCAAACTCACAACTCTGTCTCCTGAGATCGGGGAGTACAGGCATGCGTGCCACTACACCAAGCTATTTATGTGTTATCTTCTCGTGTTTATCCTATTTGGTCATTTGTCTCTATTTGACTAATTTGTGGGAACTCTTTGTACATAATTTTCCTGACCCTGTGGTTTTACCTTGTCAGCTTCAGACCCACCCAATGCACCCCAGGAGTCGAACTATTATCTCGTTTTACTGAAAAGAAAAAGAGACCAAAAGACAGAGAGACCTTTAGGAAGTCTTTTAAGGTTTTTCTCAAGTCATCAAAACTGTATATTGGCTATTGTTAAGACATGTAGACTTGTCCTACTCAGGGTTACTATTGCTATAATTAAACACCACTACCAAAAGACAACTTGGGGAGCAAAGGTTTTATTTGGCTTACAGTTTCACATAATAGTCCACCATCAAAGGAAGTCAGGACAGGAACTCAAACAGGGCAGGAACCTGGAGGCAGGAGCTGATAGAGGAGTGCAGCTTACTGGTTGGCTCATCATGGCTTGTCAGCGGCTTTCTTATAGAACCACCCAGGGCCACTAGCCCAGAGATGGCACCACCCACCATGGGCTGGACCCTCCCTTATCGATCGCTAATTAAGAAAATGTCCTACAAGTGGTGTGCCCAAATTCTGAACCCCCAAATCACCAAGAGACCCATTCTGATGCAAAAGCAATGAGTCTTTATTGTTTAATGAGTTAATTGCCTTCAACGAGTTAATTGTCTGTCAAGGTAGCTGGTGTGAGAAGGATCCCAAGGGACTGTGAGGCTGGGGGGTGGGGGTGGGGACTTTATTGGGAGGAGCAAAGGGAGTGTCTAGGGGTACGGAACAGTCTCAGGATTGGTATGCTTCCCGGCTTGGGCGACCTGTC